GGAAAGAGTAAATCTTATCTATTGTTAACATATACAATCAGTCAGGCCACATAAAGCAGACATATAACTACGTGTTTCAGAAAAATAAGCTTCGATACTAGTCAACAAGGGAATTGTACTGTTCAAACAAAGTATACTGCACAAATTGCATTTCAAGAATCTTTTAAACTAATTGTAGTTTTAGAGAAGCAGCTTACTTTCCTTCCCTACCCCATGCAGAACTGATCTTAGAAAAAAGAAAAGCCTTTCAACGTTATCTATGCTTTCTATAGTTATTTATAGTAGGGAACACTGAAGAGTCTAAACTCACTTGAAACAGTTATGGCATCACACAGTAATTTGACCAGTGAGAACAAATTCTGATTTACAGTGTTCCATATTCTATACTAGAGATTTAAATAAAGGAGAAGAGAAAGTAAGCAATGAAGTATTTAAAAAATGAATTTGAAATCACTGAAGTAAAGGTCATTGTTTCCATGTTGGCAAAAGTATTCAAGCCGCACCTGAAGAATTAACTTAAGATGTCATTAGCACAGCACTTTGCATTTGGAAAGTTTACGGTAGGAACAAGATCAGTCCCCATAGGAAAGTCAGTTCCATAATCGTTGTCACAATATGACTATCTCCACAAACTTCAATTAACAGATGTTAATGGCCTTAAAACATTAAATCAGGACACTGATATTTCCTTAAAGAATTGTGGCATTTTTTGAATCTCAGCAGTTTTCAGAATCTTTTCATTCACGGTTCTCTCTCTCGTGTACAAGCTGCCTATGTGAAAATATGATTTACTAAGTACACACGCTATCTGTTATCACCAACCATTCCACTGTCTTTACATTTACTGAAAATTTCTCATGCAAATCCAGTTAGCATGGGCTCACAAACCACGTGTCTCACAGAAGAGTCACACTGAACCTAAAGACACTACCTGTCAGTACTTTCATAGCTATGGAAAGGAACAGAGTCTAGGGAAGAAACTCTTTCCAAAAGCGGCTCTTGCAGTCTCTGGAGATTGCAACAGTCCCTGCTCCAAAAGTGCAATGCCTTTCACGGCACTTAACAATATTTCCAACACTGAGGCACAGCAACATGCCAGAGGATGGTTTCAGTTCACCTCCACGAAAAAATCTCTTGGAATGCTACCAAGTTCAGTAGAGACTCAGGACTTTATTATTCCACATTGACGTGGTTTAGCCCCAGCTGGCAGCTAAGTGCCACCCGCCGCTTGCTCACCCCTCCCCCAGTGGGATGGGGAGGAGAACAGGAAAACCAACGGCAAAGCCTCGAGGGTTGGGATAAGGGCAGTTTACTGGGACAGCAAGGGAGAGGGAAAACAATCAACGACAGTGCTGATAACAGATAGTAACAATGGGTGATAACAGAGAACAATTTTACCGATCCAACCACGACCGATGCTCAGCCCGTCCCAGAGCCACGCCGAGCCCACCCCTACCCGCCTAGCCCCCTTTGATGGTGAGCATGATGTCACATGGTATGGAATAGCCCCCTGCCAGCTTGGCTCACCTGTCCTGGCTCCTTGGGAAATTAACTCTACCCTTGCCAGAACCAGAACACACATTCAGGCAGGTTAGAGGTTGCCTTTAGCTCATTCCATGGAACTTAAGAGGTTTTGCCAAGGTGAAACAGAGGGTGGTCTCCTTGCTCTAGCAAGGCAGTCAGTCCTTGATCATAGGACCTTCCTTTCACCATCACTGAGAAATCAGACCTTCTCCTTTCCTGCTTAAAGCAGTTCAAGAATTCTGCTGGCCCTAGCCATCGCAATGCATAGTATAAAAGATTCTGGCTGGCTCCTGCCCTGACAGGATGACTGCTCTTGGCACTGCAGGGATATGGTCGTGGAAAGTACAAAGTTGGGCAAGCACAGCTTGCTCTGCTTAAGTCAGCTGTTCCCACGGGTCTGTTTCCTACTTGCAGGCCTCTGTTCTTGATCCAGACTACTTACTTGGACCCAACATGTGAGGTTTCAGCTCATTCTTTTCCAGCGAAAGGAACACATTTCAAAATTATGCAGTGCAAGAAAATTGCTTGCAGAAGGCATTCAGTTCGCTCTTTTTAAGAAATCATTCCACAGACAGTCCTGAGTCTAGGGTATGAGACACTCAAGATGTCCGTCCTTTCACAGCTACTGAAAAGGTATTGTTACCACTTTTTGAAACTCTTGCTCTCAGCACCAAATGAATTTGCAAGGAGTGGCACATATCCTAGCCCTTCCAGAGAATCCTCTTCAATTTGTTCTCACTAGTCATGAAAGTTACCCAGCAATACATCCAAGAATTTACATCTACATGAATATGGAAATAAGTTTTTAAATGCATCACATCTTGCAGTTATGCAGGACTGAAAAGAAAGTATCTGCTTTGGGCAAACATCTACAAAGTTAAAAGCAAATACTTAAATAAAACTCAGAACGTAAAACCTATTTTTTGTGGAACAGGAAACTTTTTTTTCCTGAAGATAAGAATAGTTTAATAACAGGGTCTTAAAAGTCGTTCTGAACCGACCTTAAAAAACCATAAATTTAGAAGTGAGAGGTGGTCAGAACTTTCAAGCATTTTATTGCGAAAGACTTTGCTGACATCCATGAGAAGTCTCATACACATATACAGTGATATTATGACTACTGTTCCAAAATACTGCTAATTAAGACACAGGTGACCCAACATTGACTTGTCATTCTTTTCATGCCTACAGATACTGAGAAGCCAAAGGCTGAGCAGCAAAAACCAGTTTCAGGGTATAGTCTAAACAAACTAAAACAAATTCCTAAAAACTAACTAAAATCCCTGAATTAACTAAATTCTTAAACTAACTAACAATAAATTCCTCCAAAATCTCACCATGCTTTCACATGTAAAAGAAATCTATGAAAAGAAACTTACTCTGGTTCAATAACTCCATGTTGTGGGGTGATAGTAAGGCAGTGAGCTGGCCATGAAAGCTCAAATGTCAACATCCTATTAGAATTGTTGACAATTTGTACATGTCCAGTGTCTGCTGTTCCACCTATAATAAAAAAAAAGGTATAAAAAGCTAACACGTACAAAAATTCACAGAAGTGCCCAAGATTCAGAGATGCACCAATTAAGATAAAGCATTTTCTGCCCTATTTTTACCTCCATAATGCTTTAAAATCTTCATGTGTATGCAGTGCGTATTATATGTATACACATACAGAGCATACTACCTCTGACACTTTAACCAAAACTGCATTCAAACCAAGTTTACTGTTTACATGTAAAGCTACTGCAGCAAGATTACTGGCCAAGCCACATTTAAACACAAAATAATTACAAACATAGTATACAGTACAGTTATTTTAATACTAGAATGGTTATTTTATTAACTTCAAAAATACTTACTAATAGAAGGAGATGTCAAAGACAAGTACTCAGGTTTAACAGCCCAAGTCTGTTGAGCATCCGATTTATTCTGAACCAGATCATCAGTTTTTACAGGTAATGGAGGACCCTGAGGTCCTTTAACAGGAAGAACATCCAAAGTTGCATTGATATGTCTGACAGAGTTCTCAAATCTGAAAATAAGATTGTATTAAGCAAAAGTAGTAATAAAAATAACTTATGAATACTTGTAATAGCCTACACTTAGTATTTCTCACAATTTAGTACTGAAATACAATGTTCTTTACATGGGCCTTCAATTTAATTCAATTTTCCATTATTAAGAAAAAAGTAATTCAGCAGCTATATCACGACACAGCTTTTTCACAGAACATTTAGAAGTGGAAGGTACAGTTCAGAATGGAAGATACTGAAATAAACAATTTTCTTCAGGTGATAATAAAGTAAAATACTTCCTCTACACATATTTTATTTAGATTAAGAAGGTACTGCAGAGAGAAATAAGGCAATATGAGTTGTATTTCAAAGAATGCTGGAGGTCAGTAGGGACCTCTGGAGATCACCTAGTCCCACACCTCTGCTCAAAGCAGGGTCAGCTATAGCAGGTTACGCAGGGCATTGTCCAGTCAGGTTTTGAATTTCTCCACAGATGAAGACTCTACAACCTCTCTGGGCAACTCGTTCCAGTGTCTGATCACCCTTCACCAGAAAAAGAAAGGGTTTCTTCTCATGTTTAAATTGAGGTTTTTGCATTTCAGTTGGCGTTCATTGCCTCTTGTCCTGTCACTGGGAAACACTGAGAATACTCTGTCTTCCTCCTCTTTACTTCTCTATCAAGTATTTGGGGATGGATGAGGAGCTAACTGAGAGCCTATGGGTCAGGATTAAAGGG